CCACCCAGGATCCCCCTCCCTCCCCCTTCCCCGTTAGTTTAATTAGCGCTAATGGAAAGTGGGCTCCATCACTGCTTGGCAAGCTGCCTGGGGGATGCCGGGCGGGCATAGGCTATAAATTACCTCCGGAAAGCCTAAGGGGAGGGGGCGGGTGGTACCCGGTTGCACTGGATTTATCTGTACCCACTCGGCAAAGCGGTGCCAGGGCGTGGGACACACTGGGACCTGGCCCCTTCTCCCTCCCAAGGGATGGGGGTATCTTTGCCCCCCTTAATGCCCAGGAGAGGAGTGCTCAGTATCTCTGCCCCAAGAAGGGCAGCGGGCACAGGGATGGCAGGGGAACCGCAGACAGACGGACGGGTGCCTGCCCAGCATCTAAGCAGTCTCCCTCCCCTGTGCCAGCGGGTACCTGAAGTTGGGGGCCGATGCCCACTCCAGTGCCAGGCAGGCCAGGTTGACGGTGGCATAAACCAGGAGGAAGAAAAAAACACGACCCCCGCGATGGTGTTGAGCTTCCCGGAGAAGAGCACCAGCTGCAGAGAGCACGGGACGCGGCACAGGGTGAACACCCCCCACCCCGGGATGGCACTATTGGCGTGTGCCCAAGCCAGCCCTGCCGAGCCTGGGGCATGCCACAGCAGTGTGCTGGGAAAGGGTACGGGCAGTGCCACGCGGGCACGAATCCCTGTCCCTTGCTGTGTTTTATCCTTCATTTATGGGCTCACGGAGAGAAGGGCACAGCCGCAGCAGGACACCTGGGGCAGGGGATACCCAGGGGCAGGGGGATGTGCCAGGCTCCATGACACCCAGCCCAGGCGCCAACCACCTTCACCTGGCGGGGCTGGGAAAGGAGCATCGCCCGCAAACTCACCTGTACCACCAGCCAGGAGATGATCACCGCCATCACAGGGTTCCCACTCGCAGATGTCTTCTTGGCCAGCGCCAGCGCCCGGCCTGCGGGCAGAGCAGGGAGGTTGGGCTGGGGCACCCGGGTGGGCACCAACAGGCTAGGCCACCAGGCAGGAGTCCTGTCCCCACTCCGAGGGCTGAAGCGCGGGCAAACGCCAGGGCACACAGGTGATCCAAGTGGGCACATGCCAACCCATAAAACATCACCCCACACCAACAAGAGGGTTCCCTGGTGCCAGGGCTGGTCCCTGGCAGGGACAACCTGCCGGGTGGGGTCTGGCAAGTGCCAGTGCGCTCTGGGCACTCACCGAAGAGATCATCGCGGGCCAAGGCATAGAGGATGCGGGACGCCCCGATGAGGTTGCTCATAGCCGCAGAGAGGGTGGCAGCGTAGATGCCCACCGTGACCAGAGGCGGGAAGAAACTGATGTCACGCAGGAGGAAGCCATAGTCTTTCTGCAGGAGGGTCCTGGAGAGGGACACGCACATGCTGGCACCCGCCTTGGCTTGGGCACACCCTGGCATGATGGCCCCAGCGAGGGGACGGGTGGCTGTACCTGTTGCAGGTGGCACACATGAGGAAAGCCAGCAGGTTGTAGACGAGGTAGGTGAAGAGCACGGCAGAGATGGTGCCCCGAGGGATGGAGTAGCTCGGGCGTTTCAGGTCCCCTGTGGGCAGGAGCAGGCAGCATTAGTGCCCATAGGCACAGCACCACCCTCCTCTCCTCCAGCTCCTGTTCCTGGTGCCACCCAGCCCAGCACCCCCTGCCTGTACCTGACATGTTGGAGCCTGCCATGATGCCAGTGCAGCCGTTGAACATCACTGCGAAGACGGAGCTGAAGCTCATCATCTGCCCGGTGGTGTAGTCCACCCCATACCCACCTGCAGGACACACAGGCACAGGCTGTGATGGGCTCTCCAGGGTGGCATAGCCCCACCATATAGCTTCTCCTTGATGTCCCCATACACCAACCACGGGAGAAACCACCCCACGGCACTTGTTTTGTGTCCACAAGCTCCCCTCACCCTCCGGTGAGCCCCTGCCCATGTGGAGGTGCCAGTGTCACCCCTCCCCGGGGCACAGGTGCCACAGTGGGCAGAGCCACTCCTCACCGCCCAGGTTGTCTCGCAGGGTGGCGAGTGAGAAGCCGGTGAAGGAGCCGTTCTCAGTCTCGGAGCCATTGAAGTAGGGCAGGCGGATGGGCACCCCAATGGGCCGTGTGGCGAAGAAGCTGACGAGGACGGTGCCCAGGACACCCACAACAATGAGGAAGATGAGGAAGGGGGCCTTGGCATAGATGGAGGCACCCACGAGGCACACGAGGAGACAGCGGGCCAGCAGCACCGTGCCATAGAGCAGCTCGTACCAGTAGCTCTGGGGCAGGACATGGACACCTGTGCCCGCTTTTTGCCCTGGGCAGAAACAAGTCAGGATCAGTGGAGCTCGGAGGGGGCATCACCGGGAGCTGAGAGCCACCGGTGTTGTGCCAGGCATGACGGGCACCAACTCACTGGCCAGAGGGCTGGGCGAGCTGTGCCAGCTATGCTGGGCATGGTGCTTGGCACGCCTGGCAGGGTGCTAGGGCTACTCGGGTGAGGGACACCCGCTGTCCCCTGCCACCACACACGGGGGTACTCACCAGGTGGGATCCCAAAGCTGTCCACCACCGCCTCCACCAGCCCCAGCACATAGAGGGCACTGCCACACACGTTGGCCAGGAAAAACATGATCCCAATGCTGCCCCCAAACTCCGGGCCCAGGGCACGGCTGATCATATCTTGCTCAAGTCAAGGGAAGATGCCAGCAGCCCAAACCACCATCGGGTGCCCCCACCCCTCCCTCCCAGGCCAGGGGGGTCACAGCCCCAGCATGTCACCCCAAGGCCGCTGGGTGGTCACCCAATTTTGGCCCA